TCCATATTATATTATTGTTTATTAAAAGTTATAAATAAAAGTATTGCTGTACCAAACTGAATTAAATATATATTTTCTTCATTTCGTATTAATAAAAACTTTTATTTACAACCATTTCATAGTATAAGATTAATATAATAAATCGATTTTGATAATCATTATTATTTTATTTTAGTTTAAAGATTAAAATTTTTAATTTACACGGTTCGGACCGGCGACCTTAGAAAGCCTGCGGCCCAGTAGGACTTTTCCTACTGTCCCGCCTAGCCAGTCCACCTCTGAGCATTGTTTGTATTATGTATTACACTAAGCGTTTTTAAGTTGTAACCTTGTAACATATGATAAAATACTCCGTAACAAGTTAATCATAATTATAATTTTACTGTATTATTATAGTCGATATATCGTGATAATTTCACTCCACAAATCCTATGGCGTATTATTCAGTTGGCTATTCAAATGATTAATTTAAGTACACGAATGAATAAAATATTAAAACAGTTTTAAATAATTTATTTTCTGTAGTATTTCGATTATAAAAATTGGAGTTATATAAGTAGGTATTAACTGTTATTATTATTTACATGGAAGCATAATGATTATGCTGTAACATACAAATAATATATTGAAATTATTTCATGTACTCGCGTCAGATTGCATTTATTAATAATAATAATAATAATAAGTTAAATTTATTTTCATTTTTATACATAAAAATTTACGTTTATATACATATATGAGCGAAAAATTACAAGAAAATTAAACAACAGTTTATACGTATACATACGTATATAGAATGCATGATAAAAAAAATATTTATTGATCATAAATGTATTTTTGTATTTGATAAAATATGAGTAATAATTGAATTTGTAATAGCAAGAAAATAAACGCAATCAACGATATTTCTTCAGAATAATTAAAAATTTTATTTTCCATTTCCCCTCCAAGAGGAAAAAAAAGGCAGTCACAATAAATTCATGAAAGCTGGGAAATAATCGGGTTATTTGATGCTCTTGTATTAATTGTATATTGAAAAACAATTTTCACCAAAGGTTTTATTTTAATTTTTTTTTTTTTCTTGAGGTTTGCTTCAAAAACACTTAAATCGTATAATATCGATTGCACGCTAAAGTGGTACATCCCTGCACATCACTCATAGCCGAGCATGTCGTGGTAAGTCTAAAAAATGTCAGACGAAAGCGTTCAGTATATTAGCATTTTTATCAGATGCCCTCCGCACTTCACACTCGCACAACATTATCAATTACTACCTTCCCGCCAGTCATCGATAGAAATACAATTTTCCTTACTGCAAAACCGTAACGCAACCGCACACTTCACCGCTACTATCCTTCAAAAGAAAACGTTTTCTTCATCTATACACATCACTATAATACTGAATATTATATTGTATTTTTCTTATGCCCACGAATAGATAATAAACTCACTTCATATTTGTTCTTCAATAACGCTGCTATTCAAAGCTTGATTTTTTGGATTTACTTAAAATGTACTTTAAAACTATATTTTTAATTTTTTTAGATTTTTATACTGCTTATGCAGTTTTTGATAAAGGTAAACATTTTTATATTTAAAATGAGAACCCTACCTTTTTTACTCAAAATTATTAATCGAATAATTTTTTTGAAATTTTAACGTATCAAAATCAAATTCAAATGAGTTGTTTTTATGCATTTAAACTTTGTGTTTGCAGAATAAATAAGTCCGCGACAAATGAGATTAGAAGATAATAGAGAGACTATGGTGATTTGAACATTGTAGCAATTAGTACTTGTAATTTTTGAAAAAAAAGTAAGTGTAATAAAAACACAAGATAGAAATAACGTTACATCTATTTTATATATTTTTGGAAACCATTTTTAAGGACTATTATCCTTGAAAAAAAATGATTCATACAACTTTTAAATTAAAAGTTCCACTTAAATAAATTACAGTAAAAATGGGGTCTTCGTTTGAAAAACAGAAATTTGTATTATCACGGAACACTTTTTAAGTACAAGTAATACAAAAAAATCTCAAAAACTTAAATTTGAATTAATTGATATTTAATGTAAAATGGGATTTAACATGCGTGGTGAATCATTCTGTATAATTTACCTGAGTTAAATGCTCATATAAACGTATTCTGAATAAACTAATATTAAACTAGAAGACTAGAAACGCCGGCTATAGTATTGATTCGTACTTACTAAAGATTGATCGATAAAAACAAACCGCAAACGAATATTATACAGATTTTTTCCTATCGTGCGCAATGTACATTATAATAATATATGATAGATGTAAAGCTGATGGTTTATTTTCTCGAGTTTGTGAATTATAATGGTATTACCGTCAATATATATATATATATATATATATATATATATATATATATTATACGTTTCGCTTTTCCGATGTCGCTTACATTTGGTACCTGCGGTGAGCCATTGTCGCGGTCGGTAATTGTTAGGTATCGCAAAAAAAAGGTGTTTTGACTCAGCAACAGTATCGAATTTATTTTCCGTCGAAATCCGAAACACACCATTTTGACATTTAGGTAATGTTGCCAATACGATTTATACATACGATTAAGACTGCTGCGTTTAAGTTTACTTTTTTAAAACCTACACACACGTTGTCCCCTAATAAAAATGTATCCAATTTTTTTTATGTTTAATAAAAACCGATTTTTAGTTTAAAGTATTTTTTTTAGAAAACTACAAAAAAATCAGATAAATGTATTAAGTATAATGTTCTAAAATGTATTAACAAATAATATTTAATGTTAATAAAACTAATTTATATCGTACTTTGAATATAGACTAGACCATTTGTATTTGTTGAATAAAAATAATAAAATCCTTAGTGGCTTTTTCGAAATCACAAAATCGCAAAAATGCGATATGGATATTTAAAACCAAAAAAATATTTTCGATTTCAAACCTTGGTTTTTATGAATACAGAATCAATATATCATTATCTATTATGTTAGTTTTTAATTATTATTATTTATTTTTTGTATCAACTATTTCAAAATATTTATTAGTATGTAACTTAAGCCTTACGGATATTAATTAATCTTAGGCGAATTTTATAGAACGGTTGTATGAAATCGTTAACCGAAAACTGTATTCGATGAAATAATTAATTCTGAATAAATATATGTATATAAACACTTTTAAATGCATATTATGCTAATACGTGTGTTTGATTAAGTTAGTAAGTTGGACGATAGCTGAAAATAAACGTCTTTTTAATTCACGTTAGCTATTGTGTGTTAATTATTCAAACGAAATCAAATTAACTCTTATAATATCTGGGATTAAAAAATGTAATTAATAAAAGCTTAATGTGAATTAGAATTTTTGTGAGAATTGCATAACGCCAAACTATTTACTACAATAACAATAACGTATCACTTATAAATATTGTTTTGATCACAAAACACATAATAATATGATTAATATGAAGCTTAGTTACTCCGTGGCATAAAAAAATAAATATTTAAATTAAGTTTGGTCTTAAAGTAGGTACTTATAATCAAATTCCTGTACTATTTTAAATGCACGAAAGGCAGCATGTCAACGCGCATTAACTATTGCCTAAAACAACGTAGACGATACCAAACAGATAAGAGCAATAAATTCGTTCGTTGAATACTAAGTAACTGTATAAAAAGTGAAGTAAATTTTAAATGGAAAAAAAAATACGACTACAATTATTTCTAAAATCAAATTTAAGCCAAACACGACGGAATTTAACGTGAACCTTTCAAAAACTTCGATTAAAAGCAAACATAACAATAACAAAAAATTTGCCCCCACACTCATCACCCCTAACACTGCAGTGACTTCGTGATACTCACACGTGTTACCCGGTTTATCATGCTTATAATAATATATTAACCGCATCCGCGGATTTCATGTTTAGCCATTGCGTGGATTGAGTCCCACAAATATTTTTGGGTTATTGGAGTTGAGTCCGACCAATATTGTTGGGTTATTCGAGTTGAGTCCCTTTCTTTAATTGTAATAATAAAAATAAAGAGTCAATTAATTTAAAAATATTAAAAATAATAATAAATAAATGTAATTTTTACCTAAAGAATATTTTTTAATCGACAGTTATAAAAAATTAGTAAAAAAAATTGAAAATTTGTCATATATACTTATAAATATTTCTAAAAGATTTGAAATTTGTTGGAAATTTTATTATAATGTAGGTATTAAAAATAATTATTTGGAAATTTCAAGTACATACTTATCTTATTATTTTTGGAAATACAACAAAATATTGAAAATTGTTTGAGGAGAAATAAGTATTTAAACATACACTCCATCTTTCACTCGTAATAATTTTATAATTAACTAATTGTGAGTTAGTTAGTAGGTAGCCATGACATTTTATATCTATAGGACCCAATTCAAAGATATTAAGATATATTAAGCTGGACTCAATTCAAACACATAAAAGTAGCATGGGCTCAATTCAATATCACCGGAGACGACTTCGCCCCGGATTATCGTTCCCCCCTCCCGAAGTATCGCGGCCAACCGCCGATATACGTATGACACGCGCACGACTTAGCGAGCGATCGTCAAAACATATACGGATTAAGGGCGGCTGGCTCGCCTCCCCCCGCCCGCCTACCCCCCCCCCCCCCAAACGAGCGACGATCACTATTATTACGATTATTAGTATTATTATTATTGTTATTTTTATTATTATTTGGTGCCGTGACTCACTAGTCAACTAGCCGGCTAGTCGACTAACCACCACCACCACCCACGCCATTATGCGAAGTGCTTTTACTGAATAGCTTCTTCACCCAAGCCAACCATTGACCAATTATTTTATAATTCCGTCTATTGTGCTTATTGTAAATATATTTTGTACAGATTGTACAAACAAAAATAAACGTGTGAAAAAAAAAATTATTATTATTATTATTATTGTCATCGTCGTTTAATAAAACGATCGAGTGCCACGCTGACCTTCGACTGGACAGTGGTGTTCTTCTGTATGGACGCCACCAGGATCACTTGCTTGCACTCGGCGGTCATTATGGGCATGGGCAGCGGCAACTGTCCGCGGGCCGCGGCCGCCTTCAGCGACGTGATGTACAGCGTCCTGCTGACGGCCCGCTGGGTGAACGCCACGGCGGCCCACGGCACGGCGAACACGACGGCCACGTAACACGTCTCGTAGTACCGCGTCCACCGCGCGTCGGCCATCAGCCGGTGGACCGGCCACGCGTACCGCGGCACCGACACGACCGCGGCCACCGTCCACGCGGCCAACGCGCCGGACACCAGGTACGCGGGGCGCTTGTCCCGGTGCAACCTGTTGTGCCGCGGGTGTTTGATGGACGAGTAGCGGTCGATCGACTGCGTCATCAGGCTCAGCGTGCTGGCCGCCACCGGTATGTACTGCAACAAAAACGCGGAAAACGGTAAAAAATATTGTAATAACGTATCGTAAAAAATTCGTGTCCATTCGTAAAAAACATTGACGGCGTCCGCGTCGTCTATATCATCAATTCAGCGTTTCTCAACCTTTTTACTGTGGCGACCCCCTTTTTGGATTTCAATTTTTTAGCGACCCCCCTACAATATAATATATTATATTTTTTTGTATACTCGCATAGATTATTATTAATTACTATGATTATAGGTAGTGTACACGATATAGTGTTTTATATTTATTGATTTTATTTTTTCATTACTTTATTTTATTGTTTGAACTTTGAAATTTTAAATCATACGTCAGCGACCCTAATTAATAAGTTGGCGACCTCTAGGGGGGTCGCGACCCCCAGGTTGAGAAACGCTGGTCTATATTATTATGATATTATAATATAATAATAGCTGCGATTCGAACGAAGTCGGGCGTTTACCGAGCGAAGTACATATTATTTAAGGTTCACGTACATCGTATTGTTTCGCTGTGGTGGTGGTCGTAGTTTTTTTATTTTATTTTTATTCGAATGTTTTTTATCGGGGATTCGAGACTTTACGCGTACCGTATTATTTATATGCGACGATATTTTCAAAATCTGTAGGTCGATTTAACCCGTTACTCGTTTTCCCCGCGAACGAGTTCACACTGCAGCTGGGTTAACGATAAAGCGGCCGTATATACGTGGACGTCTTATACGACTTAACGACAATAACAATGTATAACGCGTAATAAAATATACAATACACTATTATTATATTATTAAAATATATTGTACCTACGATAATAAAATAAACGGAACGTTTTCGACAGAAACCGTAACAGTCCATCATAATAACAACAGTAAGATTAATCATTGCGAAAGCAACATCGAAATACGTAGGTAATATCGTACAATTTACTAACTAACGATGTAGATTGTAGGCTAATAGAAACGGTCTTCACTCAAAATGTTTTTTTTTTGCTATGATTTACATACATTACAATAAAATATGACACCGAACTATCAGGTGAACAGCAAATTTTACTTTTATTATTATATTGCTTGTATTTTCATCATCGCGATATATATGACGTTCGACCTTTCTTTTTTATCGACGTTTTAGATTCTATGCAATATAATATTATGATCTGAGAGTCTTGCGTGTGACTCAATAATGACACTGATGTATCGGGTGAATACGGAAAAAATATTAATAAATTATTTAAATATATAAAAATTCATGTTTTGCTAATACCTAACTAACTATTTACTATATTTTCATTTTTATTTCAGATTAATTGTAATATTTAACAAAATTATAATTTTTAATATATAGAATATTGGCGCCAAAACGTTAGAGCCAACGATTCGTGTCCGTCATGCTGAACCTCAGTGTTGACTTCGTGATAATTTTTTAACGTGACTCTATGCTTAAACGAAATAAACTTTATATAAAATTATCAAATACAATACACAAGCATAAACAAAGATTGATATACATATTCATATATATATTACATATTGTTTTTTTTTTTAACTGTATCAATAATAAAATATGCAAGACATTTGAAAGAATCCGAGGACCAATATTAAAACATAATCATTGAATTACAATCACTATAGAATAAACACTATATAATATTTTGTACCCATGCCCAGTTGTAGTGTAAGTATTTGTACCTACTATAAATCATTATAAATAATAAATTGTTATCCATATTTATTATTTTCAAAGACAATTTTATTTATTATACTTAAATAATTTATCTAATATCACATTTAAACTACGTAGCTCTCTGTACTGAACAATAAAATTATTATTTTCAGTTATAAAATATATAATGATATAATATATAGTAGGTATAAAATATTATATGAGTATTAAGATAGGTTGCAAAAGACACTATTTAAACATATTTAAAACTGTTTATCATGATTAAATTATTCATACATTGCATTTAGTATTAACCAAAAATAAATGTATGGTAAGGTAATATTTACAATTATGTTTAACAGTTTATTTAATATAAAATTGTACGTGTAATAATAAGTGATATAATACATTATTCAATAATTACAACTTTAAAAAATTTATAGAAACGAAGATAAATGATTATGTTACTGAAATATTGGTAGCGTTTAAAATATATTATTAAAATACTAATCAGTGAATTGTTGTATTGGAAACATAAAACGTTGCGATCGATTACATTAAAAAAATTAGTCCAAAGTATTAAACCGTCTCAAGTTTTATTTTATTATAGGTACGTATAGCATATTTTGTTAAGTACTTGAACTACGTATTAATATGTAATTTGATATCTCACACTAAAAACAAACTCAGAAACGGAAACTGTGTTCCTAAGGTGGATAGAGGCCCGTCGGATCCACCCAACATTAGTGGAGTAATGCAGTAGTGATTGATTAAAAAAAAAGATATTATGAACTAATTGGGAACTGATCGTGGAATTATTAAAGGTCGGTATGGTGTAGGGAGTTTACGACCGGCTTCTTCGAATTTTATCAAATTAAAGCGAGTAAAACGTGAAGTCGAGAAAACGTTAAATCAAACTGTCTCTTCATTAACGGAGGACAAGGTTTTTTAGTAGTTATTTTAAAAACAAATGTCAAACAAAAAAGTGTACTTGTTTTAAGGCCAATTTAAAATTCAACTCTCGACATCGCAATAATATAATACGAGAATGTTCTGCGTTAAAACAAATAATAAATATGAATAGTTCGAAATTCTTAATTTTCATATTTCATTATATTTATTATGATTAATAATTTTCATAGTTCATCATAGTCATAGTTGTTAATCATTTTCGTAATAATTCATTATTTTCATAGTTATTAATTTATTACGATATTCATAATCAGTATTCATAATTCTGTACTATGTTCAAAACAATAAAAATATAATTATAAATATTGTTACGTTAAGTGTTTGTCTATACAACGGAACTAGTTCCGTTATGTGTAGTTTAGGTATGCATTTCGTGAAATATTATCCAGCTAGCGGAATTACGCGAAGTGTAAAAAAAGCATTTCCGCTTCGCGAAGTGGATATACAGTTTTTCCGTTTCGCGAAACATACAATTACGCGATATGGACGCGGCATTAATATATGCTTATTAGTATTTATCATTATTAATTATCATATTACATTATATTATTATGATTAATACATTATAAAAAAGTTATTGAAATAGAATCATAAAAACATCCTACTTATCGAAACGATTTTATTGCACGAATAATCGATACCAAACTAAATATAGTCATTATAACAATGAATAAAAACGTTATTCTTATTTACTGGTGGTTATGATATCGGTATAAAATTTAAATTTCTAAAAATTTAAAACTAGTTATGCGGTAATGTTAAAAATTATAGTTTAATAACGTACCTTAGTGAATATTATAAATATTATAAGATATTTCACGCACGCACATGTACACGAATAGGTCTGTCATAAAAATAATATAAATATGTATCGAAGAATATAAAAAATATCATTTTATTAAGCACACAGCAGCTTATATTTTTAATATTATAAAAACGTGTTATCGAATGAAGTACTACTTATGCGATATTGATATATATATATAACGATCATATATGATATAAAATTGCAAAATGCTAACAAGCGCCGCGGATTAACCATTATCTATGCACACGTCATGTATTTTAAATTTTAATTAATTTTCCAATAAAATTAAATCGATTTTTGATATCTATATCTATATTCATCCACTATTTAGTAAGTTTATTTTAATGAAACTGAGCTATATATTATGCATGAGAGTTATTTTGAACGTATGCGAGATTAATTTTTATTAAACTACAGTTCATTGCAAAAACATTTGTGAATATAATAATATTTTCTTTTTAAAACAATACTTTTGGCTTTCAGATAATCCATTTGACCGTGCTGCGTAAACAACGAGGACAAAAATGTAATAAATAAACGACGCGTGAAACCAATAACCGACCAGGCCGATAATCACGTACGTTACATATTATGATATATTATACAGTAAGCTCTAATGAAATTGGTGAACGTTTCGCGCGTACATTATTAAAATATAAACGAGTATACTATACGCTCATACGTGCATCGGTTAAGGTTTTCACGACAAACTATTAGATTTCAAAAATCTCCAAAAAAACAACAAAAGCCTGTACACAAAGTACTTTAAACTTTTTTCTATAGAGCCAATCTATTCTTTGAGTGTTACACAACTACCTCACTAGTAACGACATCATCATCACCACTTAGTGTTTATTTCATCAACCTAACCTTGCGACAATGATAGTGTTATCCTTCAACGACGTTTTATAATTTTTATCCACTTATAGGTTCTAAACGTATGATAAGTGTATCGATTTTGATTTTGTTTTTGAAAAGTGAAAATCTAAAGACCTATGAATATAATAACTTATTCGTTACATATTTTATTTTAATCATATTATATTTTTTTTTTATTTTTTACATATTTATGTTTATAAATAAAATTCGTTTTGTGAAAATATTGCATTTAAAATCACTACATGTAGAACTAAGGCTGAAGTGATAGACACTCTAAAAATGTTTTGCTATTATAAAAATATCTGTGTAACTACATAGTTTTAAAGTGACAGTTCTACTAAGGCATAGCCTATTTTGTAAATAAATATGTTTTCACACCAATTAAGGAAAGAGATAATATGGTCTTCTTTTCTTATTACTACTATTACTTCCTACTGAATACTGATTTCATCTTTCTCTCAAATATTCCCCGTTCGTAAACATGGTCAAGTGATTAAAAGTTGATAGCATGCGCATATCCTCTCCTGCCTAATCTTTCTCTCTTCAGCTTTCTTTCAACTTTCTTCCTATAAGATTACAAATAAAGCTAATGGTGGAGTGATAATACTTAATAATAATGTCATTTTCAACTGACAGCATGGTCGAAGAATCATCTATGGATATATCATATTAGCTG